TATGTGCTCATAGATTCCCATCGGGGAGGGGAGGGGGGGATGTTAAAGTAACGGAAACGATACCGGTTCATGATGTCATGTCTGTCCTTTCTTGTCGGTCACATTAGTAGTAGAATTGATGGATGTCTGAGCTCGTGATGTACTTCGGGAGCAGTGAACACGACCCACTAACTCTCTTTGCCTTTTGTTTTCTCAACAAATCATTTCCCATCATGTACTCGGCTTTCCGATCCTCAAAAATTTCGATGTTTCTGTGAAATTCACGGAGTCTACTTCCCTCTGCTCTTGACTTCTTGTAGTAGTTATTCTTTCAAGGTATCCAATTCTAGTAGGGCCTGCTGCAGGTTAAGCCGGCCCCATGATTCTCTTGAATAGTTCTGGCAGCGAGTATACGACAGTAGACAGCTCGAGTATTGGAGAGCCCATTGGATGTAAGAAACAAGCATAAGAACGGGAGTAGCTTGGCTATTTTCTTATTCATTAATTAGGATTTTGATTAGAGCATAATGTTCGACACTGACCCAGATATAAATTATAAAAATACAAACAAAAATAAATAATAATAAAATATAATATAAATATAAACTTTTCAAATTTCACTGAACTACGATCCTCTGTGAGTTAACTGCCAGAAAAAAACTCTTTTTTCACTGAGCTCTGATCCTCTGTGATTCACCTGTCAGAAAAAAAATATCTTTTTTTGTACTGGTGTTTTCTGATCGTTGCCCTTCTACGTTTGCTTAGCTTTAGTGTTCTTCTGGAAACATTTGCTTAGCTGTAAAAATAGAATTATCGAGAACCATCCAAATATTTTGGTCCAAGTATCCTGAAATTCAGGGCAAGTACAAGTGAAGGTGGACGAGATAGATCTTCTTTTTTTCCTAAAAACTGGCTTGCTATCTGGCTGTTGAAATTGGGGTCATTTTGCGTAGCGATCATAGCAATGTCCTGTATGTGTTTACTTTTGATGGAGGTCGTCTCTTTACTCTAACACAACCAACTTTTTTCCTTTCCTGCATGATTTTTAATTTTGATTGTTTTGCTTTTACTCCTATTTACTGATGAGCTTCAGGGTGAGGTGAAAAACGAAGAGAAAAACGACTAAACAAAGATGAGGAGGGGAGGGGTTCCTTTTATAGGTTGCAGAATCTGAGCTGAGCGTGCTCTTTTCCTTTTCATGAACCTATACGACTGTGGTATCATCCTTTAAACTGCTCAGGGTGCCCATAATGATCCTCATGGCTTGATCTTGCCTGGAATAGGTAGAAGTCCCATCCCCGAGGGCCACCATTGCATTCTTCTCACCAAGGATTGATTCTTACCTTTCATCAGCGATTTCGCCCAACGTGGGAGTTCATTAAGATGTTTAGGACGACTTTCAACCGTAACTCCATGCTCCTCTGGTCGTATGCACAGGCTCCGAAGGAAGTCCGCTCACAGGGAAGTGGACTACATATCGGGTTTTTCGGTGAGCATTACCGTTGATGAGTATGCCAAGTGGGGGTTCCGGAAAGGGAAGTTTTTGGGAATATCATTGTAATAGACTGACTGAGATCTTTGACGCTTTTGTAGAGCCCCTTCTTTGACATGCTCGGCCAGCTCTTAAACAAAAAGCCGGTTGCACTCCCTGAATCTGTCATATCCTCTTGTGATATTACTCCAGAACACAAGATGCTTTTTGCTTTTGTGGTTTTCTGTTATTTTTGTGACGCTATAGAACTGGGACGCCAGTTATCGAAATTCTAGGCATTACCTTTTCTGCGATTTTGTAATTTTTTCCTTTTTATCTTTCTTAACGAACGGTGCACCTTTTGCAGTTGAGTGAAGTCTAACTTAACCACCTTTCGCCTAATCCTCTTCAATCTCGACAGGTTTACATCGAATTCGCTTATTCATTTCTTATGTCTTCCTAGCCGTGTTCAATCAAAAAGTACTTAAAATTACCTTTTTTNTTTTTTCAAAAAGTTGTCAATAAGCTCCTTGACGACGGCAGAGGTGCTAAATAAGTGGCCTCTGTAATTAGTCTTCAACATTTCATTTGGAGTCTTCTGCCTACATTTAGAATTTGTCTCCCTATGTTTCTCACCAGAATACGCCATGCACTCGGGTCACGATGAGCTCCGAGAACGTACCTAGAAGAAGTGACCATGGTGTAGTTGTACGACATGATCTATGAGTTGCGCATAGCCGAGCAGAACTTTTGGATTTGGATGAGTTTTTCGGACCTAATGGCATCGTCATCATCGCGATGATTTTGGCATTGCCTCAACATCACCAGTCACACTCTTCTGATGTAGATGGTTGTGAAAGGGGTCTTCCAAGTGGGATAGCGAGAGTGAAGATTGTTCTACCCTTGTCTCAACGGGATGTGCCTTCATTCAGTACCTGCTTTTTTTCCATCGGTGATTCTTTCAAAT